ACTTTGTACAACTTGACAAGATCTACACTTTTGCTTTTAAGCTCAACCCCAAAATATGCTTAGATTTTGAAATGAGTTTTCAGGGATAAAATTAATTGCTAGAAATCAGGGTTTTTCGAAAATTCAAATTAAAATCCAAGATTTCAAACTTGATTCAAACCATTCCACTCAACACATACAACATAAAACAAGGTTCACACCAAGCATTGCAACCAAGATTATAAAACTTTTATTAAGGAAGAATTTGACTTGTTTAAAAGATTCACAAAGTTTCCTAATCATTATTATTAACATTATTTCGGTAATATATAAAACACTTTATAAACAACATTTACATGCTATAAATTAAACATGAAATGCATTAATAACTTGATGCTTGATGATTATGCATAATGATGACATGATTAATTTCTTAATTACTTTTTAACATCTGGGATGTTACAGTCTTCTCCACGGGTCTTCCTCTCTCAAACTCATGGGGGAAGGCTTTGCCCTAAAATTTGAGAAAAATTTTGATTTGAGTTGAAGGGCTTAGATTTGAGGGAGGAGGACATCATAAGAGGTTCATAAAGGCTCTCCCTCTCTCCTTCCATCCTCTCTCTATTTTCATCACCTAGAGTTCTCTCTAGATCTAGATCTAGACCTAGATCAATTTTAATGGAAAAAATGATGTCATGTATTTCTTTAACTTTAGATTCATCATAGATGCATGCTCCATCTTTCACATCGTCATTTCCTCTCTTTTTCATGATTTTGGACGTAAAAATCATCAATTTCTCCTAATTCTTCTTTATTTAATGTTGATTGTGACGGATAATGTTCGCATGTATGATGGATAGGTCGGAATGGATGTACCGGATCGATAGAGTGAATGATCCGCGGTACCTCTTTGAATTAAGGAAGTTTATTGCTTGACTGGTAAAGCTCATTCGTATCTGAAGCGGATGACAACCATATGCCCAAATGTTCGTTGCAAGAACACGAAGTTCGAGAGCGAGGTGCAAACTTATTTGATCATGTATTTTTAAACGAGGGCTACTACTAATACTGGACATTTCACGGCAAAAGAGTTGGTGCGAGTGGCGGTGCATCTGGAGTGAGCTCTTCGACGCCGACGGCGACAACACCACCGGTGAATAAAGATCCTTTAGGAGCACCGGCTCCTCATCATCTTCAGTCTGTGCTGACCGACAAAGGTGACAACGGTTGTCGTGATTACATCACGGTGGATGATCTAATGCAAGACATGGCCGACGAAGCGGGCGACGGTGGGGTGGTCGGATATCGTGAGCCAACCCGATAATGTGCAAAGCTTGTTGAAGATCTAGTCAAACACTTCGATGAAGACGACGTTGTGTTGGGTTGCCCAAAGTGGTTGGAGAATTTCAAAAAGAGTTGAAGCAGGCGGCAGTTGATCCTCTCTATAAGGACGGCGGCGATTGTCCGAAGGAGTGCATGGCGCTCCGTTTTAACCTCCATTTGTTGATGTTGAAGGCTTGTCATGGTTGGTTTGACACTAGCTTCAATGAGTTGTTAAGCTACCTTGCCACCACGTACCCAGCGGCTAACATAACCGCGGCGGGCCACAAAAGTTATCCATCTTCCGGTAAAATAATCCAAAGGTGGCGGCGGTATCGCGATGCCCGCCGTGGTAAAGTCTATATTCCTACCGCCATGGATCACGTTACACCGCTTCGCCCGTGGTAAATCGGTTAACTGGGCGGCATGGCAAAGCCGGCAGCAAGGCCTCTAGGAAGGCCGCGGACGGCACGCCGTCCTGGAAACCGAAAACGTCCGCCTCCAGTAAAGTTTGTGTAGCAGTGTTTCTCGCTCTTTGTGAAGAGCTTCGTCATCATCTTTGTGATCACGGTGCTCCTCGCAGCGCTCGACTTCTGGGTGGTCAAGAACGTCACTGGCAGGATATTAGTTGGGCTGCGGTGGTGGAATGAGATTGACGACGAAGGAAGCAGTGTGTGGAAGTTTGAGTGCCTTGATGGTGAGGTCCGTCCTGCTTTGCTTGTGATGTTAATCCTACTGTTTTTTTTTGTGTGAAATTGTTGCATGTTGTAACTTGAGTGTTCCATGCAGTCTCTCGCTCGGATGAACAAGAAGGATTCGTGGCTGTTCTGGTGGACTCTTTACTTGACTGTGAGTGATGTTATCTGTTAGAAAAGAATGTCATGGTGATGGTCAGAGGCCAAGATTGAACAATTTAGAGGAAGGTGCTCTTGCCTTGTGGTTGCATAGACATGTGCACAATGGTGCATATATGGTGAAAATTTAGACCTAATTATTGTTTAAAAATTTTTAGGGGGTGCAAACTTCAATGTAGTTTTGCCCCCTGGTGATGGTGTACACAATAGCTATTCGTTAGATAGGCGTCATGGTGTCCGAGATTACTCATTAGAAACTGCTGTTTGTGATCATCTTTTTATGAACCAATAAGTTACGAATTACTGAATTAGGAGCGGGGAAGGCTATAATCCTTATGTGTTTATGCTACATGTACAAATGTACCTGCCTGTTTCATTTTTCCTTGTTCCTTAGCTGTTCATGTCCATTATCTACTTAGTTGTGTTTAAGATGGTCCTATTTCCCAATGGTTTTCATTAAATTACATGATTTAATTGGACAAAGGTTAACAAATGCACCTAACTCCAACTATGGTTTAATATCCATTGGGCATAAGTCTTGTTAACAACTTAATATAGGTGCAACATTTTATGGTTGATGGTCAAGTATGTGGAGACTGTATTGTTCTCTACTTCTCATCAATTTATTGATTTATTCTTTCACATTTTTCTTGGGCTAAACACTTGAAACTTGGTAAGTGGTGCATCTTGCATGAAAAAAAAAATACTTGTAGTAGATTCTAGCTTATCACTTAAAGCACAGTCTCTGCGTCTCACAGCTTTTCCTGAGACGGAAAAAACGGCCTCTTCTTTCTTTTTTTTTTTTTTTTTTTTTTTTTGCGATTTTTGACTGTTCCTGGTTCCAATATGCCATGATATGCACTTAGTTAGGGTTTTTGTGATAGTATCTTTACCTTTACAAAAGCTGGCTGATCCATCTGTTCTCTTGAGAAGATGAAGTCTTAAGGCTTAACATTGTAACTGAGACCAGAGAAGGGTATTACATTTATACTTGAGGGTGATCCATTAAAGGCTTTTTATTGTCTATTCTATGTTACTGACCAATAGATACTCCCTTCATTTCAAATTCTAAGACATTTTAGTTTTTCTAGGTACATTGCTTTCACTATGCATCTAGACAGTGTATATCTAAATGCATAACAAAAACCATGAATCTAGAAAAGCCAAAACGTCTTATAATTTGGGACGGAGGGAGTAACTGATATGTTTTAGAATATATATAAGCAAAACAAATCTCTCCATGTTTCAGGCTGCTGCATGGATCGTTCTTGGTATATTTTCACTCATCAGGCGTGAGGCTGATTACCTTCTTGTTGTTGGAGTTTGCTTGAGTCTAAGCATTGCAAACATTGTTGGCTTCACCAAGTGCAACAAAGGTGAAGATATATTGCCCGAGTTATTTTGCTCTGAACTGATTGGCCTCTCATAAACTGTTGACTGAATCAGATAGACGGTTTCCTATCAAAACTAAGCAAATAATAATTCTAAAGCTAATAATTTTCAAGTTTACATGGTTTCATTATGTTCAATAATGTGCAAGCCATTCAGCTTCTTGGTTTGCTGTCCAGCACTAGAGTTTGGTATGTTACAGGAAAAAAATTCATCAGCTATATGCTTGTTCTGGGATTTTTTTTAACCTTCACTATACCTATATTGTTTTCTACACAGTATTCTGCTGCTATTTCTAATAAAAATATTTTTATTTGAGTCCTGCCTATTCATGTCATATGGGTCTCTGTTGGAGATAGAACTTTTACCTTGAAAGCTTTCCACAACTCTGTACACAACCTGAGTTTTACCAAGTACATCTAACATATGGCATTGCCATTATTGTGTAACAGATGCCAAGAAGAACATCCAGACTTTCGCTCAAAATGCACTCGCTTCCCGTGTCACATCGTCGCTGCAGTCAGCATTTGGAGTCATCTGAAGCCCCACATGGAGGCCCTGATTTTAGTATATTACTCACAGCGGTTTACAATTTGTCAAAAGGATGAGTTTGCATTCTATGTTACTGACTTTCCTCTGATTGCAAGGATGTAACTCTACCAGCGTATTGTACTGTCCCGTTATCATACCTTTTTTTTAACCCCCCACCCATACAACAAATAGGTCAATTTTGATGTGTACCAGAATCCTTAGGTTTAATTTTCTTGGATGATTTCTCCATGAAACATACACTTGTCTCCTGCACTGAGGAGCATTCTCTGCTTGACTGCAGTAAACATTCACTTATCTGAATCTGATAACCAATGCAGAAATGATTTGTTGCTTAAACTTGTTCGGTACAATATATGTTGCTATGCTTTTTTTTCCTCATCTACTAATACAGAGGGGGAAAAGCAATACTCCGTATAGTACAAGCCCACTAGATTGATAGACCCAAGACGGCTAGACGCCAACGAAGATAGTAGTGATGAGAGGCCTAACTACTGGTCTGTACTGAAGATAGTGATGAGTGGCCAAACATTTCATTGCTTTCTAGTACTATTTTCAAATTAGAAGGAGATGGCGAAACACATCATATTTCCTTTTGGAGCTTGTAATAACTATCATAAATAGTCTATATACGTACATCTCAAGGTACAAAATCTTTGTACTCTAAATCCAAAAAAAGACACCAAATTAACTTAAGCTTGCAATTGCAACTGATCATTCCCATTGCTACTTTGCCTTCTGTAGTTCTGTGTAGTGTGTACAAGGAGTCAATCGACGTCAAGAAACAGCCTGATGCAACATCTCCTCCCTCCAACCACGACAGCCTTCATCGTCTTCTGTTCATCACCGTTACCCATCTTCCATTGAGTGGATCCAAAGGTCACGACTCGATCAATGATCCAATCCGCATCAAGAGTCTGACGCTTTCCTGGATCCGCCATGGATCAAGCTCGCCAGCTTCACCCTGGGCTTGGAGTACTCCCCGCTCATGGCAAGCTTGGCAGCAAGGCCGCTGCCGAAATCCGTGAAGTGCACGCCGTCCCAGCTGACCACCTTCGCCTCCGGCGGGCACAGGTCGCCGCAGCCGGGCTTTCCCTGCTCCATGTTGTACGGCGGCCCGCCATTGCCACAGCACACCATGAACGGCCACTCGATCCCTGAAGAAGAACAGCTAGAGCATAAGCCAAAATGAAATGGCGTTTCTGAATGCCTGAATCTTCAGAATTTTCTGATTCTGAAGGAAGAGGATTTGCTGTTCATGTCGTACCGTATTTGGTGTGGTTGGCCACGAAGTCGTACTTGATAGCGAACATGTCGGTGTAGACGACGGTGGCGCCCTTGAGGTGGAACCGGAGGTCGTCGCAGAGCTGGCTGAGCTTCCTGTTGTACGCCTTGGCAGCCCTGTTGACGCCGGCGAGGCAGCCGTGCTTGTCCTTCTCGCCCTTATTCTCCTGCACCACCAGCGCCGGCAGGCACCCCAGGGCGCCGGTGCCGTGGATCCAGAACTTCCTCGCTCCATTGTCATACAGAATCTGTGAATTTTGCCAAGAGAACAGAGATATGCTTCTTTGTCAGTCAGTGTATGTATGCTGGACGGGATTTTTCAGAGTGGTATGTTGGGTACTCACCGAGATGGCTTGTCTGACCTCGCCAACGATCTCTGTGATCTTCTTGTCCCACTGATCGGACGGTACGTGCGCCACACCAACCATGTCGTTGTGGCCGATGTCCATCATGTACAGAGCATTCTCAAACCCCTCCTTGCTCACCGGGCCTTTCAGTCCTGATGGAAACACATTCAGGTTCAGAATTCAGTATTCAGCATTTCAGGTATTTCATCATCATCCAGATGAGAGTATGAATGAGATGGCAACAAACCTCGTTCAAACATCTCAAGGGATCTGTGCCTGAAGTAGACGAACTGGTCGACCTGGACGTTCAGGGAGTAGTCAGAGGCGCCGTGGGTCACCGTCGAGCCCGCCATGGCGAAGTTGACGCCGTTGCTGTAGTCTGAACCAATTCCCTTGAGGTATGGATTCAGCTCATGCGTGCCCAGACTCTCACCTGAAAATTTGAGGTGGCCCTACTAAGCCATGAGTGAAAAAACAAGAAACCATTAACAAATTTAAGCTTTGGATAGCATGGTAAGTGCAGATTTGCTATGTGTTACTAATCCTCTGTCACAGTAGCATTTCAGATTGGTGTATCATTGCTACATTTCAGATCATGAACAGAAGAGATAATGCACAAGTACCCCCACCACGTGCATGCGTCTCAGATCTCAACCATATATGCAGATGCAATGTTTGTACTTGATAAGACCAGTTGAAGATTAAAGCTTTCATGACCACAAACTGAAAGTGCAGATGCAGCTTGTCCGGATGAAGCATCCGTGGACCATGACACAAATGCCTTTTTGTTCTCCCAATTTACACTTATTACTGAGGCAAATATACATTATACCCAAAAAAGATCACAAAAAAAGAAAGAACTACTACTACTTTGCCGTCACGTAAACACACACGTTCATTTTAACAAGAGTATCATTGAGGGGATCAGCATGTGCACTCGGATAAGATAAACGTGATGCAATGTGACAAGCATGAACTTCCACATGGGTAATATACCATATATGTGGCAGGATCATGGCATGCATATTGCGTATTTTGTAATTAAAGATGCAAGTTTAAAAAAAATAGTCAACAACTTTGTTTGCTGTCAGCGAGTGGAAGACATCTTTAAATTATTTTCAACAACCAAAACTTGTCTAAATTTTAGAAGAAGAAAAAAAACGCAGCGATTTGAAGAATTGTACCTTTTCTTATGACAACAAGGTAGCAATACAAACATGTAAATAAGCTGGCAAAAATGATCCATTCCAGTTCCAGTCTAGATAAGCACAGTTTGACGATGCAGCTGAATGATGCTCTGCACCCTGAACTCCTAATATTTTGTACAAGCACTAACTAACGTTGACAGAGCCAGACAAATAAAGAAAACCATGTGACTGGTAGGTTTACAGCTCCATCTGCCATCGCCAATGCCACGGCACTAGTTGCAGTGTTTCCGGTGATGTTAGCTGTTGACTCAACAACTTGCTAATCGGACAAAATAGGAGTAAGAAACAACTGATAAGTCAGCAGTATAATAATCACCTTGATTACCACCCCATCTGTACTCACACTATCCTTTTGTTTTGGTTAGATCTAGTCTAATCTCTTTACCCCATATCGAGCTATAACATAAGGGCATTTTATTGAGTCACAATGGTACTCCGGTATGCCAATGATAATGATATTTCTATTTCATCATTAAATAACATCAAACACAAGATGGTCGTGAAAACAACCTTTGTCTGGTCTGCACAGAGAAAACGTAATTAATGAAGAAAAGAGAAAAAATCATACAAAATGGTTTCCTCAATGAAGAAATCGATCAAAATTTACTCTTGACTCAATGCACCAAGAAAGGCATGGTGAAATACGACTATTTGAGAACCACCACCAGCTCTTCCACAGGCGGCAACATGGGTCATGACTTCCATTGGAGGAAGAAGTAATAGATTGATTGAGAGAGAGAGTAGAGAAAGAGAAAATAATTATTATCGGATTAAACCATGGGTTAGAAGTTGCCAGCGTTTTTGAAAATGCGAGATTTGTGTGTTTATGTAAACTACTAGTGCAGCGAAAATTTTTTTATTGGGACTATCCTAAGGACATTTTTATTGATGATAACACAAGGATGTTTGGTACTCCGGTCCATGCCAATGCAAGGAGAAGAAGATAAAGATATGTCGAATTTACCGAGACACACTTTGTGTGAAGAAGGAAGCATCAAACACAAGATGGTCGTCCAACAACCTTTGTCTGGTCTGCACACAGAAAGAGGCAGGCAGGAAAGCACAAGAACCAGTCTCGCAAATGGAGAATGGACCAAGTTTGCTGAGACAATCAAGGGCAGATTTTCACTCTCAACCCTGCAGATAACCTAATTCGACATTCCAGTCAGCCAAAGGTTTTCCATCTCTCTCAAGTCTCAACTGACTGGAGAAAGAACCAAAGAGGCATGGTGATTGGGCACATCACATGACTACATGAGGCCTCCGCTTCAACCACCGAATAGCACCAATTTTTAATCCCCCTCTTCCACATCGGCGGCAACATGGGTTTCATTGACCTCTCCCAACTTGTTAGCCACCAGGATCCACCAACCATCTTCTAGCTGTAACTCTCCTTAGCCCGATTGATTGACCCGGTAAAATCGAGAGCGTATAGAACAGAGGAATTTAACATAAACCTATGATTCATATCGGATTGAGGAATTCACTGCTCAATTAGGGATGCTAGTTGCCAGCGTTTCCAAAATCCAAATCGCACCGAGCAGCCAGCCAGCAACCTAACAGTTTATCAGGTTTTCGTGTGCAATTATGTCCTCCGAAGTGCAGCGAAATGATTTGAGTCTGTATGCAGTTTTAACACCTATAGGATTAAGATCCAACAAACTCCACACTTCTTCTACCTCCGGTCTCCACAGATCACATATTTTTTTTTTCTACGGAAGCACGAATCACAGATCCGCCGCCGCCCACGAGCCACGACCTGCGCACCGTGATCACCACGTACGAGGGCAAGCACAACCACGACGTGCCCACCGTGCGCGGCAGCGCCGCGCTCTCGCACTCTACCATCCCGGAGCACTGCCCACGGACAACGCCGGTCAAAACCTTTCCGCAGACAGCGCCACGCAGCCGACCATGGTCGACCAAACGGCGCAACGGCAGATGTTCAGCGGCCAGCGCGCGATTGGCTTCAGCACCGCGCCGGCGCGGCGACGAGCGGCGGTAGCTTCGTCGTGTCGTCGGCCTTGGACGACACGATGGGTTCGTACATGAGCCAGCAACAGGAGAGGCAGAACGCCGCGATGCACGCGTCGAGGAGGAGCCCAGAGAGAGATAAAAAAAAAAGTCCATATGTTTTTTTTTCTAAAACACATGTGTGTATAGCATTTAGGAATGATTTTATTAATTTTACCAAACGCCAGAAGAAGCGGTGAATTAATGGTGAGTTTAATCAATGGAAGTATGGGGTGGAACTCACAGATGAAGTCAATGATGACGCGGCCGTCGGAGAGCCGGCCCGTGGGGTGGTGGAAGTAGGTGCGGCCCTCGGGCGGCATGATCCGTATCCCGCCGGCCGCCGCCACGCCGCCGGTGTCGGAGTTGGAGTCGCCGAAGTTGAACAGCGCCACCGGCGGCCGTCGCGCCTGCTCCTTCTCCTTCCGTGCCACCGGCGGTGATGCCGCGGCCAGGCCGCCGGCAGCGGCGCCGCTGCTGGCGGTGCTGCTGCTGCTGCCGGGGGCGGCGGCCGCCACGGAGGAGCCGAGGTTGTGGCGGACGGCCACCATGGCCGCCGGCGACATGAAGGACAGCGACAGCACCATCACGGCCACCACCACCGCCGCCAGCACGCAGAAGTACTGCAGCGGCATGCTGATCACCTTCCCCCCGCCGCCGCCGCCGTTGTTGGCGCCGTTGCCGTTGGTGGCGCCTGCCATGGCGCGGTCGTCGTCGATCTCCACGCTCAGAGTCAGAGGCCTCGCCTTCAGCCTCCTTGATGGATGGATGGATGGATATTTGTCTCTCTATAGCTGTAGCTAGTCTCAAGATTCAACAACTGTGAGAGAGCATACATACGTGTTCACATTTATATACTTTGCAGGATTCCAAATTTCGTCTTGCACTCTTTTTTTTATTAGTAATATAAGTAATTTTGAACTAGCTAGAGACGTGGTCGTGTTTAAGGGTACATCAGTAATTACATGTTAGAGGTTGGTGGTCATCGTACTTAATTAATGCTAGTTAGATATGGATATGGCCATGACAGGCAGAAATGGAGGTGACTGGTTAAGTTGAGTTTAAATTAATCTAGAGCTGGCCTGTCAGAATGTGGAATTTATAAGATTTCCACAAAAAAAAAACAATTTCACTCTCACAAGTTTCTGTAAAAATTTCTCGTGTAGCAAAGATTTTTATAAAGTCCTGAACAAACCGCGGGCGTGGCGTGTTTGACTAGGCTGAAACCACGGTCGAATGGGCGCGAGGGTCAATTTTAAACGGTTTTGAGAGTTAAGGGACTGTACGTGTCTGGTTTTCGAGTTATAGGACTAGAAACAAACTGCAGCCATAGTTGGAGGGCCAAAAATGAATTTTTCCTTGTCTATTAGCTCATGGTATCTTTTACTGGAGACTATTCAATGGACTAGTGTTAAAAATGTTTCAGCTATTGGCGAAGACTATTTTAATCCCCATGAACCGCTTTCGAACAATATTATAGTTGTGCTTTGGTTCTGCTCGGTACTCTCTGTTTTTTTCCTGACCCTTTCTGTTTTGCCCTTTTTAGGGCCACACTTACAAGAGTTTTTTTTTTTTTTTTTAGAATCACACTTACAAGAGTTGGTTGGAGGGCTCGGTGAAGATTTTTTTTTTTTTGAGAGAGAGGAAGGCGGAAGAAGATAGGATGAAACTCGGGCAACGAACCGTTATGGGCTTCATTGGGCCGATAATTTTTTCCTTAACGGGCCAGAGTCTTTATCCTTGAGCCCGAGTCGACCACGGGAGGCACTGGGCACTTGTGTCGCTGGGCTGTCGGTCCGCCGAGGCGCCGACCGCCGTCTCTCTCCTCCTCCGTCCTTTCTTCTGCGCCTCCTGCGTCCTCCCGCGCCGCCGCACCCACTCCAAGCACGCCAGCCGCGCGACGCACTTCGTCGTCCGTGTCTTTTCCTCCCCGCCCCCTCTTCTCCTCTCTGACAGTATTGGATTGACGCGCAGTGCCAGTGCACATCGTCCATCTGGACCGGTAAGGAGGAAGCCTAGCCCCTAGCTTCATGTTTGCTGGATATTTTCATTCTTTTTATTTTCTTAATCGATGAAGTACGATCTCTGCTTGCTCTAGCACAAGTTACAACTGCCGTAGTGTCAGAACTCAGAAAAGTCCATATTCTACGAACTTCAGCGCGTGCTTTGTCGGTCTAAGCTAAGCTATCTAGGCTCCATCGCCTGACGCCTTGCATATGCTCGATGAAATGCCCAGCCAGTGCCTTGTCTTGATTGGGCACTAATGTATCTTCCTTCCATGATCGTTACAACAATGGATTAGTGACACAGATGGAAAATATAGCACATGATTGTAGTAGCATACTTTCTTTCAAAATGATTGTAGTAGCATAAGATCATCTGATCACAATTCTGTAGCCTTGACGGTGTTCTTACGCATTCATATTTATTGGTACTTTCATTTTAACCCAGCTGCCCTAGTTGGGGCAATGTCTATGGCACTTCCTTTTCTAAGCGATTTCTTTTCGTTTGATGAAACAGTGATGCCCTGACTTCTCTTTCGAGGATTTAGAGTGCACAATGATATTCCGCTAGCGTTATGCTCTTCAACTCGCCAAAAGCAGCAAAGCGAATTGGAGTTCAGTTCCTGTCAGTTGCAAGTGCAGAATGCTTTGGTCGAGATGTCTCTCCGACACACTTTGCATCCCTGTTAAAGGAATGCAGGTCTGTGAATACAGTCCGTCAAATTCACCAGAAGATAATTGCTTATGGCCTTCTTTCTTATCCAGCATCGTTGCTGTCAGTGTCACTCCCACCACTTCCATCGCATTCGTATGTATCGCCAAAATCTTTGGGTACCGGTGTTGTAGCCTCCTATCTTGCTTGTGGTGCTACAAGCGATGCTCTCTCGGTGTTGGAGCGCGTCACGCCATCACCAGCCGTGTGGTGGAATCTACTCGTAAGAGAACACATCAAGGAAGGCCGCCTTGACAGAGCAATTGGTGTATCTTGCCGCATGCTGCGTGCTGGAACTAAGCCAGACCATTTTACTCTGCCATATGCGCTGAAAGCATGCGGGGAGCTACCTTCATACCGTTGTGGTAGCGCATTCCATGGACTCATATGTTGCAATGGGTTTGAGTCAAATGTCTTCGTATGCAATGCATTGGTGGTGATGTATTCCCGCTGTGGTTCTTTGGAGGATGCCAGTCTGGTGTTTGATGAGATAACGCGGAAGGGAATTGATGATGTTATCTCATGGAACTCAATTGTTGCTGCCCATGTTAAGGGTAGTAATCCGCAGACTGCATTAGACCTGTTTTCAGAAATGACAACGATTGTTCACGAAAAAGCTACAAATGAAAGGTCAGATATCATTAGCATCGTCAACATTCTTCCCGCATGTGCTTCTCTAAAGGCATTGCCTCAAACTAAAGAAATTCACGGCTATGCCATTCAGAATGGCACATTTCCAGATGCTTTTGTGTGCAATGCCCTGATTGATACCTATGCCAAGTGTGGGTCAATGAAGGATGCACTAAAGGTTTTCAATGCAATGGAATTCAAGGATGTCGTTTCTTGGAATGCAATGGTTACTGGATACACCCAAAGTGGGAACTTTGGGGCAGCCTTCGAGCTTTTCAAGAATATGCGCAAGGAAAATATCCCGCTAGATGTCATAACATGGAGTGCTGTAATTGCAGGGTATGCTCAGAGGGGATGTGGCCAAGAGGCCCTTGATGCATTCCAGCAAATGATTCTTTATGGCTCAGAGCCAAATTCTGTCACTATCATCTCTCTATTGTCTGCTTGCGCTTCCTTGGGAGCATTGTCTCAGGGTATGGAAACTCATGCATACTCTCTGAAGAAGTGCCTTCTATCCTTGGATAATGGTTTTGGTGGTGACGGTGATGGTGAGGATCTAATGGTGCACAATGCATTAATAGATATGTACTCAAAGTGCAAAAGCTTCAAAGCTGCACGCTCCATATTTGATTCCATACCTCGAAGGGAACGTAATGTGGTCACTTGGACTGTCATGATTGGTGGGTATGCGCAATATGGAGACTCGAATGATGCCCTCAAGCTTTTCTCAGAGATGATTTCAAAACCATATGCAGTTGCCCCAAATGCTTATACAATTTCCTGCATTTTGATGGCCTGTGCACATTTGGCAGCTCTTCGTACTGGTAAGCAGATTCATGCTTATGCCACCCGCCACCATGAGTATGAAGCATCTGTGTACTTTGTGGCAAACTGCCTTATCGATATGTACTCAAAGTGTGGTGATGTCGATACTGCTAGAAATGTATTTGATAGCATGCCTGAAAGGAATGAAGTATCTTGGACTTCAATGATGTCAGGGTATGGAATGCATGGTCGTGGTAAGGAGGCTTTGGACATATTTGACAAGATGCAAAAGGCAGGTTTTGTTCCTGATGATATTTCCTTCCTGGTTCTTCTTTACGCTTGTAGCCATTCTGGCATGGTGGATCAAGGTCTGGATTACTTTGATATCATGCGTAGAGATTATGGTGTAGTTGCCAGTGCAGAGCATTATGCTTGTGTTATTGACTTGCTGGCTCGCTCTGGGCGATTAGATAAGGCATGGAAAACGATTCAGGAAATACCAATGGAGCCTAGTGCAGTTATCTGGGTTGCATTACTTAGTGCCTGCAGAGTTCATTCGAATGTGGAACTTGCTGAATATGCCCTGAACAAACTGGTCAGTATGAAAGCAGAGAATGATGGATCCTACACGCTTATCTCCAACATATATGCTACTGCAAGGCGGTGGAAAGATGTAGCAAGAATCAGACAACTGATGAAGAAATCAGGGATTAAGAAGAGGCCAGGATGCAGCTGGGTCCAAGGTAAGAAGGGCACTGCATCTTTCTTTGTTGGAGATCGATCACACCCTCTCTCTCCAGAGATATATTCTCTTTTAGAGAGATTAATTGGTCGCATCAAGGTTATGGGTTATGTCCCCGAGATAAACTTTGCACTGCACGATGTTGATGACGAGGAGAAAAATAATCTTCTCACTGAACACAGTGAGAAGCTTGCTCTCGCATATGGGCTCCTCACAACTTCCCCTGGTTGTCCCATACGGATCACAAAGAACCTTCGTGTTTGCGGTGATTGTCACAGTGCATTCACCTACATCTCCAAGATTGTCGACCATGAGATCATTGTACGAGATTCCAGTCGCTTCCATCATTTCAAGAATGGCTCTTGTTCCTGCGGTGGCTATTGGTGATATCTTGTCCTGTGAAAGCAGCAGGTGCAGAAGAAATACTAATGTTTTCCGAGAGAAAGAAATACTAATGTGATCAGGACTTTTCTCAGTAGGACTAATATATTCATGACTTTATTACAATGATTCACACAGACTTCTGGTTACCATTATTTTTCTCACTTTGGTTTTAGTTCTTCTGTCACATGCACCTGCACTGGTGTTTATGTTGTTTGCCTCTCTTTATTCATGTCTTATGTCTTATGTTGTTTGCACCTACACAGTACGCTGCTGTTTGTTCTCCTGAATAAGCCTTGCTGTTTGAGTTGCCATTAGGGGTTGATTCTTCTCTGATTAAGTAGTGATACTTAATAACCTTGTATCAGATATTCGCAGTGCCTGTGTTATGATTTTCTAATGGCTTACGTTTCTACAAAAATTGAGCTGATTTTCCCTTCGGAAATTTGAAGACTGTATCATCTTTGTTCTCTTTCTACATTTTTTTTGAATGCAATGTTCTCTTTCTACATTTAATATAGCTAACACCAGAACAGACCTTTGATCGATGGGCATGGTGGAAATTTGTATTTTTATTTCATCAAAATTGTTTGTTTCGACTATTCCTTCTCAAAAAAAAGGGTATTTTTAGCGGTTCAATGTAATCACCTCACAATTGTCCTGTGTGAGACTTGGAGTTGATTTAGTCCATTGGTAGGTTCACTCAAATCCTGAAAAGCAATTTAATTAAGGTTTGCTTCTATCAGTCGAAGCTGTGAAAGTTGATAATTTTTACTAAAGCAGCAATTTGTATAATTGCTAAACTTCTCTGCAAGGGTTGAAGCAGCTGGCCTTCCTAAGGTGATGCCCTTTGTTCCATATTCTTCTCTGCATTAATTTGTTGTGTACTAGACTACTAGTATGTCTGAAGGTGTTTTTTTTCAGATTTGCTTGACATCAGCTGATTGAGGATTTGTTGCACTGACAGTCAAATTTCTTAACCATTCAATTTATAATCAAAAGCCTGGAATGATGGGCCACCCTTGTGTCTTGTAACATCTTTGGGCCCGTCTACTGGGTTTATCTTTTGTATCAGGTGTGTTGTGTATGCTATCAGGCTTTTTATTTTGTGAACCCATTTTGTTTAGGCTTGAGATTTCTCTCATCTCTCATACCTTTTCTTTTGTTATTCCACAGAAACAGAGGATAGGGACTCAGAGAGAGTAAGGGTGGGATGTGAAAACTGAGACACGTAGTGCACCTACTAGTGCACCATTGGGCGAGCATCTCTCCAGTGACTGCACCGTTTCCATGCAAATCACCGGTGGGTGAAGAGAACTCCGCTTCTATTGGCTGCCTGTTATTTCCCTCGATTTGTTTTCGCGTTGACTCATCAAGCTCTCCCTGCCTGCCCTGCCAAAACAGCACCAGATTGCTGTGGGTTAGCTTGTTCTTTGTTTGAAATTTATATGTTCAAGGAACTAGTAAATCTTAGCCCGGGACAAAAAGGGAACTAGTAAACCATTTTTAGATTTTCCCAACAATATAAGCTTACCAATGGCATTAAAATCGATATGAGAAGACATGGTGTAACTCCACTGAAATGTGTGTGCTCCAATTGGTGCCTCAGCATTAATTTACATAGGAACCCAATAATTTTATCTCACTTGTCACTTTGAAGTATTAATTACTGTTTATACATATATTTGAATTCGTCTGGATTTGAGTTGCCGAGCAACCAGCAGAAGCTGCTCGCTCAATTTAGTGAACACAGCTGCACAGCTACTAACTTCTGATATGATCCATGACTGCACGCCATCCAAAAGGCAAACTAAATGATAAACTAAAATTCCCTGTTGATCAGTTCTGCATGTCAGCAAAGTCACTTGTTGTCTGCCAAGAAACCATGTCACCGGACTCACAGTTAGATGGCTCAGGTCGTCGATAGTTCAGCCTTGAAGTTTCCTCATTAAAATCAGCTCAAAACCAACAGACACATGAGTCTGCAGAACGGTAAGTGAGCCATCGCCTGATCAACAGCAAAACAGCAGTCCAGCATGTTTCAGCTAGCACTGTCCATCCATCATATGCATCTGAGCATACAGGCTCGTTCGCAACTCAGATGCATCTGAAGTTGCAGCTCACAAACTAAAACCTGACACATTGATGTTACAGATCACAATAGCCTTCAAAAGCGCAGAGGATTTGTCGGGTATCAGGATTAAGGATACCCGGAAGAAGAAAGCTGATAGCCACGAACACTAACTCCCTCGGATGGTCAAGAGCGTATCTTGGTCTCGCCCGGTCCCGAGGGTATGGGCTCCGTCTCGTCCGACCTCCAACCACGCGGGCTCCGTCTCGCCCAACGGGCGTCTACGAGTCGAGGGCGCGGGATCAGCCTCGTTCGATGGTCGCCTCGGCTGGACCCTCGAAGCGCGAGCTCGCCCGACCCGAGAGGGAGCGACGCGTCTTGACGTGACTGGTTCGACCCCTCAGTGGGGATTCCGCCGCACGACGGAGTCCGCACCAAGACTCACTGGTCTAAGAGTATGCGAATCTGAGGTCAAACTTTTGACGCCAAAAGGGGAGCAGACGCGTCTTGATGTGACCACATGCCACCTAGGCGTCGCATGACGGCTTCGGGCGTGCGGACGCTATGCTACCTAATCGCAGACGGCTTGAGCGGGATTCGCTCACCATGCCGCTCGCCGGGACGGAATGGAGCGCCACAACCAGCTGACAACGCCCACGTATAGCGCCAGTGATGAACAGGGCCGGCATGAAGCCGTCCTTGTCATCATCTACAGGACTGATGGGACCCGCGTAAAGGAGATGATGGGTGCCACGACCCTGGAGGCCTTCTTCCTCGCTTTCTCTCTCTCTCTCTCCGTGTAACTTGCGCCTTCCCCTTCATCTATAAAAGGGGAAGCTGGATGTCCCACGAAGGGCATGGCAAAAAACACGCTAAGACACTCAGATGTCTACACGTCTGCACACAACAACAACACTGAAGGGCAAAACGAGTTATGTGAGACTTAGCTCCGTTCGATTCTTTCACCAGAGACTTGGGACTTGCTCCCTCTCTCGTCGTTTGTAACCCCTACTACAAACAAGTGCCGGTAACACAAGTAGCCTCAAACTGGACGTAGGGACATTCCACCCGAACCAGTATAAACCCTTGTGTCCTCCGAGCACAGCCATCCGGGTCAGACGCGCAAATCATAAAATTTACTAGCCGGTGATCCAAAACACCGACAGGATTCTTCACATAATACTGAGTCCAGCCAAAATTCTTCAAACGTGACACCACGTGCCTCACAATAGTCACTAAGGGTGTGTTTGGTTTTGAGATATTAGGGACGGGGTGGATCCATCCCTATTTTATGGAATGGGATTGTCGCACCTCCGTGTTTGGTTGAAGGGCCAGGTCTATCCTAATTTTTTGTTTAGTTGGAGGGATGGAAAGGAATAGGAATAGCTCCATTTTAACACCATCAGGCACATCTGTTAGTAGGTCCCACATGTCATGCTCTTAGCCTTCTTCCTCCCCTATTCTGAACAAAAACCGCCGCGCTCCCACATGACCTGTAGGGCCTCGCAGTCGGCCACGGCGCCAGGCCGCGACGCCCCGCCCTCGACCTCCACACCTGTGTGGCCTGGCCTCGCCTTCCACATCCACGCAGCACAGGCAGAACACAATTATATGCCTCATAGTAACATTATATTTGGAAGGGCAGGCCTGGTGCAGCGGTGAGAGCTATCTCACTAAGTCACCAGGTCGTGGGTTCGAAGCAGCCTCTCCGCAAATTTGCGGGGGAAGGCTTACCTCGGTTTTTCCCTTCCTCAGACCCCACTCATGTGGGAGCCTACGGCACTGGGTCTGCCCTATAGTAACATTATATTCACTAGTGGAGAAATGAGATCTAGTCCCGGTTGGGAACTAGCTCTACTCCCGGTTTCCCAACCGGGACTAGCAATCCGGGACTAAAGATGTTGTTCTTTAGTCCCGGTTTGCCACGACCGGGACTAAAGATCCTCCTAGGTTTAAAAAAAATAATGCCTCCCACTGCTGTGCCCCGTGAGATTCGAACCCAAGACCTCATGCACTGCCTCGCGCGTAGCTTACCACCCCACCTACACAACACATTTAACAATGGATGGGATGCTTTCCTTTTGAACTAACCCATCGGGGGACCTTTAGTCCCGGTTGGTGTTACCAATGGGAGTAAAGGTTGGAGGATTTTTAGTCCCGGTTGGTGCTTCCAACCGGGAGTAAAGGTTCATTTTAGTCAGATTGGTGTCTCCAACCGAGACTAAAGGTCCCCTCGCCATTCATGATGTAGCCATTAGGCGAGGATTTTAGTCCCGGTTGGAGACACCAACCGGGACTAAATGTCTCTCTAGTCCCGGGCGCAAAAAATACAAGGACTAGAGCCCATTTTAACCTCGAATGAAAGGTCTGTTCTCTACTAGTGATTACTGATTTCACTTCTCTGAAAGTGTTTGGCGAAGAAGAACAACCCTAGATGCACTTATATTTCTGATCGGGGGAAGTATTTGTTTGTACCCTGGAAAGGTTGCAATTGTTTGGTACCTTGCGTATCAAAGGGTGCATGTGGAGCAGGGGCCAGAGAGTTCTCTTTACTGAAACGTGGGCACATCCGCACATATGCCCAAACCTGGTCCAGACTCACAAGTACAAACATGATGCATCACAGCTAATAATTGGTCGTCTCCATCATTGTTCACTAACCTAACCCCCCTTAAACGATTCCAGTACACTTTGTTTCTGTTTTTTCCCCATTTGGATGAAGTGATGAGAATTCCAAGGAAAAAGCATGAAATATTTTAGATCATTAGATGCTCAAACATGTTAGACATTATGTTAGTGTGGAACATTGATAAAAGCATGTATCAATATGTTAGATATCCATCTCTGTTTGTCCCACAAATCGATAAAGACATGTCAGATACTCATCTCTATTTATTGATCCAAAATCCAGAAGAAAAGAATTATACATGGTACAGACACCTGCATCGCCATGTATTAAACCCTAGGATATACATATGCCTCGATTGTACAAAAAGAGAAGAAAACAAAAGGAAAGTCTTCTTCTACAATGGCTGTAATGTATGAAACTCAAAATAATTAAACTTTGGTGGGGTCAGTTTTGTTAGTAGTTTCATCTTCATCATCCTTGATAGGCCAAACTAAAGGCCAATTAAGATGCTGCATCACCATTAATCGTCGGATTTTGCTTTGGGGACGAGGCTGGTCAGCTTGACCCTAGGAATGTTGTACTCGCCACTGAGCACTTTGGAAGCCACAATTCCGTTTGCAGCATCGGTGAAGTGAACCCCGTCCCAGCTTATGAACTTTTCGCCAAGCTTACAGAGGTATTTGTCCGAAGTCATGCAGCTCTCCTTGGGGTCATAGTTGTAAGGGGGCCCTCCATGACCGCAACATGTCATCAATGGCTTCTCAATCCCTAGAAAACAACAAGGAGAACAATGTTAGAACGCATGGAATCGAACGGTATACAAGTTTGATCTGAGACCTAAAATTGTGTCATCACATTATATATTGCTCCTGATTTCAAAATTATTTGCTTTCATCATGAAAAAGGAACTGTGGAAAAGGAATGGAGACTATAACAGATTAACTTACCGTATTTCGTGTGGTTGGCAACAAGATCATACTTGATAGCGAACATATCCACAAAGATGATCGTAGAACTTTTCAGCGTCAAACGCAGCTCGTCCAAGGCTTCACTCAGCAAAGAATTGAACTTCTTGCAGACATTGTTGATGGTCGCGATGCACCCATGCTCATCAAGGTCGTGGTCGTCATCCCTCGGCATAGAAAGCTTCTGAGGCATGCATCCCAACGCTCCCGTCCCATGTATCCAGAACTTCCTGGCTCCGTTCTTGTGCAACCTCTGCAGTTTTATTTGCAAGGATATATACAACGATGATAAGTTATTACGGAGTGAATAAATAGTGTGTAAGAAGATTCTTGAAAGGAAATACTAGTCGGAGTTCAGAGGTCATCAGATGTAGTAGAAGCAATGTACATCGGATCTGTGAGTAACGTTTACCTCGATGGCTTTCTTGATTTCAACAATTACTGGGGGAAGCTTTTCGAGCATTGTATGGTAGGGCAAGTGGAGAACACCGTTTATATCGTTGTGCCCAATGTCCATGGTGTATATAGCATCTGGGAACGCCTTCTCATCAATTGGGGCAGCCTCACCTGGGAGAAGATGGCCAAGTCCCGTCAGATAAGAAAACCAGACAGAATTAGGTTTTTTTCATTCATTCGTCAGTTTGAGTAAAAGGTGGATGGTTCAGGGAAGAGAAAAAAAAAGGAGACAGTTGTTTGATAAAGAAAAACAGAAACAGAAGCGATGAAGAAAGCAAACCTCTCTCGATGAGGTCGAGGCATCTCTCCTTGAAGAAGACGAACTGGTCCACCTGCACGTCCAGCGAGAAGGTGGTAGCTCCCGGCGTGGCCGTGGAGCCCGCGATGGCGCAAAGTTGACGCCGTGGGAGTAGTTGGAGCCCAGCGGCTTCATGAACGGGCTCAGGTGCGGCGTGCCCAGGTTCTCACCTGATTCGGAGACGGGAGTGTCAGCAAAAGCCTCAGTACAGACTGCCAGATTTCATTGCATATAGTAGAGGAATGTCGAGGAGATTATTTTTTTCAGTCATTTGGAAAGGCAGGAAAGCTCTGCGTGCGATGCTTTGGCAGCACAGCAGGCCCAGAAGCGGCGGCATCCGTGGAATGCTGGAAAGCGCGTCGGAGACAGCACATGCATGGTGGCTTCTTTTAGACAGGTAATAAAGGAATAATACAGTAATGATAACTATATTGCTTGAACATGCATTTCATGCCTGCCCGACCGAGCTGCATTATCAGATTCCTTCCAAAGGTGGCGGTGCTTTCATACACTTGTGGTTAAATTACTACGTGTGAATTGAAGCTGCTTTCTCACAGCAGAGAAAGAATAGACCAAGTGGCCATGTGCAGGCGCAATTGTTGCCTAATGCCAGCATTTCTGTTTGAGTCTTTGTGACTGAAGAGTAGAGTAGAGTACACTACAAGTACGTGCACTGTAGTAGTAGTACAGATTACTACTAAGAGCAAGTATTATAAGGCTGAGTCAGCCGGCTGAATTGAGGCACGTAGGAAAAAGGTATGATCTGGCAGAGAGAGAAAAGAAGAGAGAAAACGGGGCGGCGCTCTACCCTTCGCCGGGCTGAATCTGACGACACAGCCCGCATCCAGCCAGCTGCGGGCGAAAAGAAGGCGCTTCATTCCCCCACCGAACGATCCCGTGCGAACCCCCTAGTCTCGCTCGACCGCGCGCACTACCGCCGGCGGCGCTCTTGCGGCAGCAAGGAAGCAAACTAGCACTGACAGTTAATTCTTAAAAAAACGTGCTAAACGCCAGCTTATCAGTCAGCCTATCATACGAGTGTTTCTTAGGATGGCTATAGCTAACATGGCAATAGCATACAGCCCGCTGCTGGCTGGGTTATTAACCATGCTCACTAACTGACTGGTTAGCTAGTGGTTGCATCTGGACAGGAGGATCCTTTGGGGCTAAATAGTGGAGTAAGGAACTATGATTAAAGCCCTGTTTAGATGTGAAAATTTTTGGTTTTTGGTCCAACGCACTTTCGCTTTGATCAGCGTGTCCAATTATGTAACTATTTAGGCTAAAAGATTCGCGTCGCCAATTACTTGGGCAAAACTGCAATTAGTTATTCTTTTTACCTATATTTAAAACAGATCTGTGAATTTGATGTGACGAAGAATTTTGAAAAATTTTAGATTTTGAGTGGGATCTAAACAGTGCCTAAATAGGCTCGGAAGCGAGAAGGATCGCAGGCAGGTTGCGTGCATTGAATGGGAGGTGCCAAGAAATGATTGCACTTGTGCACAAAGGAAACGAAAGAAGTAGCTAACGCTGAGGTGGCCCCGGCGTGGTCCTCGCCCAACATCCAATCCAACATCATTGTTGACTGGGCACCCGACTGCGTCCCGGCCTACTACACGCTTGGGCGTCTGGTCGTAGGCGTCTGGTCGTAAAAAATTTTCTTTTTACATAGTGACAAATTCAGAAAATTAGGGAACTAAACATAAACATGGCCTAGGACGCTCAGCCGGTTCTAAGTGATTCCCTCCGCAGCACTATTAAAAAAAATTAGGACAGCCGAATCGTCAGGCGAGTACACATAAAAAATTGAAAAGATGTCACCAGCGCTATAGCTTACCGGAGTGGGTATTCGGTCAGACACAGTAGATTTACGGGTAATTGTGCGAGCCAGGCGAGTACCAAGCGCTAGCGAGCTGTTTTTTCTGCACTCTCTCTCTCTCTCTGCCACGTCGCCAGAAAACACCGTTGGGGTGGTAAGGTCAGGTGAGCAGGGACCCGGCGCGACGGGTGGTGTGCCCAACGTTTTCTGGCTCCACCGCCCGTGGCCGTGGGTGGAGGCAGGCGCTGGGCAAAGACGACGACGCCAGGGTCGCGCAACTTGCGCCGGGCCTCCGTCAAGTGACACGGCAAGCAACGCCAAGTGGCAAGTGGCAAGCAGAATCCAAAACGTGGCATTGCCTACTGCCATGACGCCGCGTGCCAGCCAACCCCATCATGCCATGCCAGGCAGAGGCTGGCGGGCGCGCGGCTGTCCGCGGTGTTTGTCCCGGGAGCGACGGACGCTAACTGATACTCCCTCTATCCCAAATTACGAGACGTTTGACTTTTTTATTCTAAATTATAAGACGTTTGACTTTTTTATCCTAAGTTTGACCACTTATCTTATTCAAAAAAATTGTACAAATATAGTCAAATTTAAATCATTCTTGAAGAATTTTTATTAAACTTGATTAAATTTAAGTCATTCTCAAAGAATTTAAGTCAAATTTGTACATAAATTTTTGAATAAGACGAGTGATTAAACTTGATGTCAAAAAAGTCAAACGTTTTATAATTTGGGATGGATTGAGTACATATGATACGAGACCACACTGAATTGAATGAAATATTCGACTACTGCCGTCAACATTTATTAAACATCGTGTTCAAATTCTTGTTGCATTCCAAACATTCTTGATTCTTCTTTGAAAAAAGTGTGCCCAGCCTGTTTGAACAGGGGCAGTGTCTCCTCTCAAAACATTCGGTTTCAAACACGTGGACTAGGCACAAACAGCCGACATTGCTAGGCCAGGGCCGCTGGGCGTGCGCACTTATGCCCGCCGCGTCCTGCTAATCCTGAATTACGCGCGTTAATGCCGCGGCTAATCGCAGCCCGACAAGGACGGCTCTACGCCTGGGGCTGTGCCTCTGCGCGCGTCGCCGGGAAGGACGCCGACCAAGCACCGAGCAGCGGGGTGAATTCGAGGAGCAAGCGAGGAAGAAAGGGGAATGCTGGATGGAATCGAATCGAGGTGGGATAGGGGATTTGAACCAGCCAGAGCCAGGGAGTAGAGAGAGGGACTCACAGATGAAGTCGAGGATGACGCGGCCGTCGGAGAGCCGGCCCGTGGGGTGGTGGAAGTAGGCCCTCCCTTCGGGCGGCGCGATGCGGATCCCCATCACCGCCGCCACGCCGCCCGTGTCGCTGTTGGAGTCGCCGAAGTTGAACAGCACCACTCCGTCCCCCTTCTTCCTCTTCTTCTTCCTCCCCTCCTCCTGCGCCTGCTCCTCCCCTTCCTCCTCCGCGGCCGCGGCAGCGGCGGCTTGAGCCGAGCGCACGACGCCGCCGCCGATGCTGCTGGTGGTGGTGGTGGTGCTAGCGGCGGCGGCGGCGGTCGCCGGGATTGCCGGGCCCGGCATGTAGCGCAGCGTGGCCAGCACCACGGCCGCCGCCACCGCGCCCATCACGATGTAGTACTGCACACGCAGTGGGCCCATGGACCGCTTCAGCGCCCCGCCGCCGCCGTTCCCCGCGCTCGCCATGGCTCTCTTCTCCGCGTGGTGTGGTGCCGCTCTCTAGCCCCCGCGCCACTGCCAGCCAGCCAGCCACTCAGGTTGTTGCTAGTAAATGAAGTGAACTCATGTGTTGTGCCTTTCTTTCTGAAATCAGAGACGACCAAACAAAACGTGGCCAACGCTGCTTATATTGAAAATACAGCCTGGCTGCACACTACTACTGACAGATTTCTACCACTACAAGACTGCAAGAGGCTTCCTATGAATTTCTGCTCTGCTTGTTTATTTCGACCAGATTTCCGATGGATTCAAACATCAAGCATATATGTAGCTTCGTCTCTCCGCCGCTAGGTGGCGCGAGACTTCTGGTGTGTGTGTGTGTGTATAACATGAAAAAGGATGGGCAGGGGGCACCAAACATGTGGGGGGAGGGAGGGAGAGTGAGTGAGAGTTGGTGGGCGAATTTTTCTTTATTTATTTGCCAAGAAATATATAACCCATTGCTTAGCTTTTGCTCAAAAGAAAAAGGTGACGCGATTTAAAGGTGACGTTTACAGTTAAGCAGGCCTAGCTAGGTAATCATAATCATTCATTAATTAGTATGGCGCAGCCACCATTAGGATACTACTGCAAGCTACTCCCTCGCATCTCAAATGCAAGTCCGTTTATAGGACGACAATATGCTGGTTTTCTAATTCTACTGTATAGTTTCGACTAATATTAGTGTACAAAACACAATGTACTTTTTTGGTTTCCTGCAATGTAACATGTCTTTTGTCATTATTTCTATATTATTATTAGTTAATAGAAGAGTACAATCAGTAATAAGTCAGTAGGGAGCAAAACTCTCGTGTCAAGAAAAATGTACTTCTTCATGTGTCAAATTAAAGCGTGTTCCATTGATAAAAAAAAATAGATACGGCAGCACCGGCCTAGCTCCTCTCGTGTTGTCAATTTTTCTATAGCTTTTTCCAGCCAATCAAAGAGTAAAAAGTATGCTAAGTTGCCCTAAATTAGGATCATATCAGAGGGAGTAGTAGTATCAATCGGTTTTGTGCTTGAAAATGAAGCACAATTAGCTAGCTAGACTTGCGATGGAAGGCGCTTTACTAGCTAGTGTGTGGGTGTGTTTGGTGGCACGTTGGTCTCGGTAGCTTCCTTTGGGATGCTGCAACAGCGCAGATGGAACGACCGGGGCTGGGGCCGCCGGCCGGGACGAGAGGGATCGGAGGAGCCGACCCGACGCAACCGCGACGGCGCAGCTGCCGGCAGGTCCATCAGCAGCACACAGGACTCGATCTGGAGGCACGTCCACGCGTGTGTGCTTCCAGTCCGACGCGACGCGCGGCACCGGCCAGTTTGGAGGGAGGACATGCATGCGCCAGCGCCCAGCGGCGACGATTGCAGGCAGCAGTGCAGCAGGCTGCTGCATGCTCTCGCCACCGGATGGAACGGCGCACCTGCTGCGGCTAGCGTTGCCGACGAGCGAGGAAAATATCCATCCAGCAGAGCAGGAACGGATTCTACCTAACCTCCTTCTCAGTGGTCTGAAAATTAAATCCTTGTATGCTACGCAGCGCCCAAAACTGATTGACATGCATGTGTCATGTGTGGCAAGCATAAAAAAACTCTAGCCTCGCTCGCTAGCTAGGGGGGCGGGCCTCGGTTCTGCAGGCGAATCTGAAACGCAAACTGAACCGTTTGCTACCGCTATGAAATGTAGTAGTGCTTGCATTGGTGAAAATCAATCAGGTGCATGACAGTGTGTGGCATGAATGAAGCTGCTCCGATCCATGCATGCCCATTGCCTGCAACAAATTGTCCAACGATCGATATGCATATGATGGTAATGGTAAAGGTGTCGGTGATGGGTGCTAGTTGTGCCCCGGCCGGCCGGCCGGTCATCACGAATGGCACACCATTACACCAACCCTTGGCGAAAAGCTAGCTGCTAGCACGAGGGGGAGGGAGATCGACAACAAAAGTTACGACTACATACATACCTACCCCCCCGACAGTTTCTGAAATCTCAATCAGGCAGAGATTACTATATATGATAGTAGTGATAAACAAGTCGTCGCCATGTCATGTGCACTACGTACTGTACAGCACTAGGCCAATAGTACTGGTGCAAAATGTTTATTGTTAGGACAGGACCCGCGCATCATGCATGGCTGATCCATCAGTAGTTGGCGAGTTGGTGTCAGTAGTGAGCGAAGCTGGGTAAAAAGGCCTCGATCGTCTTTGACTGCACTGCACCTGATCTGAATCCGAATGCACGCAGCAACTGCTGCATTTCGAGACCTGCAACAGTGTTTAATGCCGCCACCGGCGCCACGGCCCAAGTCCAACGTCGCGTGGGAACAAGTACGTGTTGGTCAGAGCTGTGTTTTTCAGATCCATACGTCTGAATGGAACAAGGGTGTGTATATATATATATACAGAGAGAGATTATATCCAGTAGTCAGCTATAAAATAAGTTATTATGTAGCCACCTCCATCTACGATAATTTTATATACTAATTTACAATAATGGTCAATACATATTTATGACAATTGGGTTACTATAACATATGGCGATATTTATCATAACGTTATAGTAAACCACTTAGTAAGAAGTTACTATAATCTCATAAATTAACATAGTAATTATCGTAACTCAAAGTGACTACAGAATAAGTTATTTTATAGCCAGCTACATAGCAGTAGTTCTCTTATATATATATATATATATATATATATATATATATATATATATATATATATATATATATATATATATATATATATATATATATATATATATTCTACTCCCAGAGAGTAGTTACTCCTACGTGTATATCTCTAGATTTATAGCGTATATGGGCCAACGAAGTGTATGTAGATGGAGTATATCATCATACTAGACCATTTAGGTACTATGTACGACAAGTATGTATGTATACTTAGAGTATATTGTTATACTTATTTTATATGCTATTATCCTAGTATTATATAATATATTAAAAATATGTGCTTTTTTGAAGAAAAAAAATCGCATAGTAAAGATCTGGAGTATCTTAATATTAGTATGTCAACATACTCAAACTGATAAATGAGTATGTACACATACGCAACGTGATACACACGCACACACACACATCCATGGTGCAGGAAGGGCCCTGCTGGAATCGATCGACATCCACTGAGACGAGCTAGATCCAAATCCTTGGCATTGTGTGTGCAGGTGCAAGCGGAGTTGGTGGTTACTACCTCACGGTCCTCACATAAGAGTAGTGGTTAGCATAGTAGTGGTTAGCATCAGCAGATGCTTTACTAATTACTAGTACCGATATATATTTATATTTATATATGTAGACGGGGCGTCTAGTCTACCAGTGACTCATTGACACCACCAACAAGCTAGTAGCGACCTTTATCCAAAAAGGAAAAAGGAAAAAGGAAAACTAGTAGCGAAGAACCAAGGAACCAGCACCTGCTCTGCAAAACATACACTTGTAGTATTAACAAGTCAGCAGTCAGCAGGTTGTACTTGGGCAAGTACCAGGTATACGTACAATGTTATACAGAAGCAGTACCCATACCAGATTGATGGCTGATGAACTGTTCAAATCACACATCAACATGCCATGCCACCACAACCACAACGGATGGTGGTTGGTTCGATTGCCGTTCGGGGGAAAAAAAAGAAAACAATCAAGTATCGCAAACAGGTAGATATTGCTGGAATCCATTCCAGAAGCAGGGGTGGCTTCAGTCTTCGTCTTTAGTTATCTCACTCAAACGGGGCACCACCAAACCACCCCGATTTGTAAATCATAAATCAGTCTCGCTGTCAACTCCTGCCTGTCCAATGCAGGATGCGGACATGTCTAGATTTAACAACAGAGTATGTGAACAAAGAGATACTTAGCATACCATTCCAACAAAGAAAACATTTCAACATAACACGAGACTTACTCCGCTAACCACTTCAACACAAGTTTAAGCACATCACCAAATCCTGTATTTTTATTTTTCCATTCCACAGACTAGGGTAACCAAAAGGTTCAGACATGGCAACTGATGAAGATTCAAAAGGAAGAACGATGCTGAACTGAAAAGGTCAAAAGAAAACCTGAACCTTCCACATCTTAAAGAGATAAGTGGTTCCTAGTTTGCCAGATTAAACTGAAGACCGCTCACTCCATGGTTGCCACGAGCCCATAACGTCAGAAGCTCAAAACGGAACCGTGCTACTTACAAGAGACGCCTTTCATTCGTGTGGGTTAACAAGAGATGCCTTTGGACCAACTACTAATTGGACGTCGTAATCGGGACCAGCATTGAGCCAATAGCAAGCACACCAGGCAGGGGTTCTGAGCAGGCTTTACTTGTCAAAACGGCCACAGGTGGACAGGCTTTCCCAAAAATCTTCTGATCTTCACAAGTCATCTCAGGAGCTCCTGATGCACTGTGCGCCAAGGTACTTTTACCTCCTTGTTGATGCTCCTCAGATGGTGCTTTTGACGAGGCGCTGGCAACAGTTTCTGGTTGTGGGTTTTCAGTTGGGGCGATCTCAACCTTCTTCCAGCGTCGTTGTTCTCCATCCAAAGCAGATTTCTGGTTTGGAGGAGTCATGGGATGGTATGCTCGAGTTGGAGATGGTATAGCCTTCACAGTATCCTTGTTTGTCTTTCCATGAGCCTGGGTTCCGCAGCAATACCATTCTTTCTGTCTGTTTGTGTTTGAAGCTACGCTAGGTCAGGTTCCCAAAGTCTTGCCATGAAGCCTGGTTCTTCTCCAGGTTGAGATTCTGTAGCTTGTCAGTAAGATTATTTGTCTCACACTCACTGGTAATTTTGTCCATCACTACACTGTCAGATTTTGGCAGCACATGTCTGGAGGGACGAGGGCCATGCCATGCAGGTATAAAATGTGGAGCACCCCTGCGCAGCTTAAACTTTGCTTCCTTCTCCTCATGCACCATGAAGCTATCAAGCACACATCCGTCTGCTCTGGTATATTTGAAGAGTTCGAGCATAGTTGTTCCAGGAGTGTAGTGTATCTGCAAATGCAAGTATGGAACACAGTGTCAGGGTGCAGGATGAGATCACAAGATAAACAGCAGATTAAGCTACAACGTTGTCAAAGGCACAGCAGCAAAATACTAGCAAATGGATAAAACCTATTGGCTATTGCTATGCCAACTTCATCCAAAGAAACAAAACTTGCTAGTACGGTAGTACCTAAGATTTATGTGACCCATTTTATGTGGAATCAATATTTAGGGTCTATACCAAAATACTATAGAACCAGAGAACTGAGCAGAGACATGTTTTCCTTTAATTAAAGAAACCAACCATAAACAGTGAAACACCATTCTCCCAACTGAAGGAAATTTAGTGAAATATCAAAGAGAGCTTGCCTCTTGTGTATCTCTGCTAGAGGTCACAGGCTTACCTTAATTGTTCTGCAGTAAGATACTTCGGAAAGTGGAGTTATGTACGTTTTTTATGATATGCCATTTTACAGGAAAGCTGCCAATCCATCTATCCATGCACCAAAAGTCCATGTCATTTTGGTAGTCGACAGGGCCAACCATCTCAGCAACACCACAGAAATTGTAACTTGCATTGACCTGCTAGACCAAAATTTTGGACTCAGTAATTCAAGTTCAAGGACATGGAATTGAATGAAAGAGGTCAAATACCTTTAAATTAAGATCAACTCACCGAAAAGAACAGGAAAACTGGGCACAAGGTAGAACTACTTGCAGCTATCGCTTGAGCCTCTCTGAACGCAATATCCAACTTCTGGCTTCCAGTAGAGGAAGTTGACCACACACCATACTTGATAGATTTGTGAATGTCTGCCTCATCATAGGACTTTATCACAAAGAATTTTGCATTTGGATACACCACCTGGAAATCATGTCTGTTATATTGATCAGACCTAATGACTATTTTACCCTCTGGGTTGCCAATAAGGAGCCTTGATGTATATGATTTTACAACTATTTCTGGGGGCGTTGAACCTATTGGCATTTTTGCTTTACTTGTGTTCTGCTGACTCATGGAACTGTACCTTCGATTAGCATAGCTACTGGTTCTTGCATATGGTTGGGATCTCTCAGTTGACTGCATCTCACAAAGGTCAGATCCAACATTTGAAACTTCATTGTTGTATGACAGATTTGTCTGCAGTGAAGACCGGACAGAAGGAGCAGCCGCTTGTGGAGACTGATGTGGTGCCTAATCATAGTCAGGAGACATGTCAACAAGGTGCATAAAAGATAAACAAGTTATAATAAGGATAGCAGGAGCTCTGCTGACTCTACATTAGCAGATAAGGACAGGGGGGGGGGGTGGCTTAAGAAAATACCAGGCCTGAAACCTGTTTCCCAGGAAACCACACTATGGTAGCACTACCACTATTACAATACAACATTAGAGAAACAATCTAGCCCAACAGGTTGGCATTGGCTCAAGTCACCACAAGAAAACGTCATAACAAGGTATTATACATGAAAAATGCAGCAGCATGGAAGTACACTACCATGACATGAGACATCTAAAGGATGAATAAGAATATATATGCAACCAGAAATCATTGGACTTAAGTATACTTCTACATATGCCGTCATAAATATGGAAAAAGCTACTAATTTCATATTTTCAGTTCAGCAACAATGCACATTCTTTTATCATCCATTCTAAGTAGTTATACGATTCAATTACCAATAAAGGAAAAAAGAAGAAAATTATGTACAGTAGAAAGGACTACAGGCATCAAAGTTGTTAATAGGATCATGCTGTTTCAATGCAATTGACATAAAAGAGCACGTAAAACTCAACTGATTCATAGTCAGGACAGCAACATACCCGTCGAGCATGAGGGAGTCTAGCTGGCGCCCTGGCCCCACCTGATAATTGCCGCTTCCATGGAGCTGGCCTATGTGGTTATTCCTTTGGTAGCGAAGAATGGCTTTGAAATTCCATTGAAGAAATAGTAGCTTGTTGTAGAGATTGATTCCATGTGACACCCCTTTCTGGTAGAGAAGTATGGCTTTGAAATTCCATTGAAGCAATAGTAGCTTATTGTAGAGATTGATTCCATACGACACCCCTTTCTGAGGTAACAGATACAGTTTGCTGAAGTCCACCGGGAACAAACAAGCCATTGGTGTAACCAAGATATTGAGCAGTGTTAGCTGGGGTTCTGTCTGCTGCAGATGGACGGGTGGAACAGTGGGGTGTAGGAAGTGGTTGATGGTATGTGTGCTCCACAGTTTCAGAGTGGTACTCTTGGGTTCTGACAAACCTACCATCGCCTATGGCACAAGGGTGCAAAGGGTGAGGTCCATGGGGAGAATGCCCGATCCCATAGTTAGGGACAACATAATACATGGATGATGTGCCTTGCACCTCGTGTCCCTGTCCAAGGATCAGGACAATGTATTTAAATTTAAATTTGTACAATAGGAAACACCAAGAAAAGAAAGCAAAAAGAAAATAGCATTCTTTAAAACAAACCATGTAATTTTGAGCTTGATTATCACATCTTGAACTTGTCTGTTGTTGATACAGCTGGGCAGGCACATTAATACCTGCCCTCATAAGATTCATTACAAGTAAGTGACACATTAAGTAACTGAACTTCAGCATCAACATACATCACTTAATGAAGACAGCATCAAGACCGTGATATACCAGTTGGGGCATAAAGAGGTGGATAATAAGTCGTGGTGGTAGGAAAGCAGAACTCCTCTCCAAATATGAGATCATGATGTTCCTGAAGATCCATAGAATGCAGTCACCCCGAGAAAGGGCACTGATGCAATCTGTAGCTGCAAGCAGAATATGAACAGTTTATCACTGCAGTCACATACTCACATGTATGAAAAGCAATAAACTGAACCAACAATTTGGACACACACAATGAACTATCAGCATCATGTGCCTGTTTTAGAATATTCAATAATCCCCTAATGTTCTCCAATTACATTTGTCAAAAATCTTGGAACCAAGCAGCAGGAGCATTTGCACCAACAAACGAACCGTTAAATTGGCAATTTTGTATCATGGACTAAGGCGTACAGTAATTCTAATCCATCCGTCAGATAATGTGACAGAAAACATAGTGAGTTATCTAGTAAAACTACCAGCATGATGCATGCCTCTATTCCAATTTCCAACCCAAACAGACAGGGCAGTGAAACCACACCATCTGACTAAGCGCTGGACCATACCAATTAAGCAGCACGACAAAGATCATAACTACTGATGCTTCTCTGGGAGCACCTAATTAAGGAGCATTGGTCGGACAAGCAAAGCCGGCAAATCAACAAGGAAATCGGTTCCCACAAATCCGGACCCGTCGACCCGAGTAGCTTTTCTAACCCTATATGCAGTCCATCAAAACCCCAATACACGGTACAACCACTTCGATCATCAGCAATGCTCCCCCATTTCAGCAGCAAGGACCGCCCAAAACCTAACACCCAAACCACCGCACCCAGAGGTGGGCACATAAAGGACATGCATGGGTGCACACAAGTACACCGGCGGATATTTTTTGCAAAAAGTTCGAAAGTCAGGAGTAGGCGTACGTCAAATACCCCAATGGCCTAGGGTTTGGGTGCTCGGTTTCGCACAGGAAGGGGAGAGAAGCGGTGGGAATACCTTGTATGCGCTCGAAGCCGGCGAAGGGACCGATGAAGACCTCGACACCTGGCGAGGGCGGCGGCGGCGGTAGCCCAGTCGTCGCAGAGAGAGAGCGCGCGAGAGAGAGAGAGGCGAGAGTGCACCGCACTGCACCCAGCCACCCGGGGACGGGGGTGATTGGTGAAGGTGAACACGACTGTACGGTGGCAGCCCAGTCTGGTGTTGTTCGGCCCTGCCGGAGCGCACCCGCACCGGGCTACTCCTGGGCCCGTGGGCCGTTTCTTTTCGCGTACTATTTCTTTTGCCGTTTCTTTTTGTTCTTATCCATTTCTTTCCTTTTTTTAATTTTTTTTATGCTGTTTCCTTTCGTGTTTGTCCTCCACAGACCACAGGACACTGTGTCAACGCTAATGGAACATTAATTTCAAAGAAGTGGAATAATAATGTCATTTGTTAGGACATTGCACATAAGCAAATGGAACATTTCTTATATTTTTATTAAGATAGCTCACTTTTTAATGAAGCTCGAGACCCTTTTTTCACTTTAACCTGCAACCCGAACTACAAACAATTTTCTCTTCTTCAACATGTGACAATTTTCAAGTGAAAAAACATTTTTTTGTCCTAAATACAAAACATTTATTCTCATGAACCAAGAATATTGTTTCATTCAATATATACAATGTTTTGGGCTCATTAAAAATGTTTTTAGATGCTCCAACAACAAAGGATTAGTGGAGAGTGTTGAGTCTTCCTAGCCCTCTCTTTGAATTCCACAATTTACTCTTATTAAATTGTCATTCTAGAGTAGGGTTAGAAACTATGTTGCAAAAAACTTTTGCTCGGTATAATAGTTGGATTTTGTCAACTTCAGGCACATAGGTGAATTTGACTAAATGGTATGTTCACGTTATGCAAACGATTGCAGAAGCCCAATTTATGCAAGCCCATTTTGGAATTCTAGATCCTTTTAAAGAGAGTGGATAACAAGCCTTGAGGGGATTGAAAGGAAATAGACGTCACCTAGCGGGGGCTGAATACATAGCCCTAAATTGTTTTTTTTTTCCTTTTATTTAATCCGAGGGTTTTCAAATAACTAGTAGTAAAGTTACATACTAGTGTCCACAATCTCTATCTGCACGTGTCTTCCTTTGTCTATTTCAAGTCATCAACAGGTCTTCCTTTCCAAATACGATTCCTTCTGAATTCTCAACAATCCGCGAAAGAACCTGTAGACCAATAATTTGTGTGCGACTATGAGAGCTCCGTGTACTTGTTCCATTAGATTTTTATTTATGTAAATTGAATGCTTGTTAGCATGCTGGCCTTGTCTCATGCATCACATATGCTCTCTGATTTTCGTAAACTAAACTAATTAACCGGCCAAGCTTAAATACCAAAAATTACCCAACAGCATGCATGACTCATAAATCATGTATTTCCACATTTACGTAAGCCCAATCATTCATGACGTGCCAGCAGATTTGGTTGTCAACATTAAGCAACCAGATTAGCTCTAATAACAATGCCGTCCCTGCTGTGTCTTTGATGGCACTAGTGACTGGGTACCAATCTCAGTTGGCAAACCCTCTCTAGTCCCGGTTTTCCAACCGGTAGTCTCAGATCTATTAACCGGGATTGAATGAGAGCCCTTTAGTCCCAAAGGGGCCTCCAGGACGACCCGAGGGTGGGCACCTCCAGACCCGGTTGGTATAACCAATCGGGACTAAATATTTCTCTCTTTTTTTCTTTTTATTTTATTTTCTTTTGCAGTTTCTTTCTATTCAATTTGTTTTCGTTTCAAATAGTTTTCGTACACGTATTATATGATATACTATTGTACGTTATCCATAAATAAGAATGGAACTAATTAAGAGCTTATATATTACAATGATCATCATCATTCATCAAGTTCATACAAACCATAATAATTTAAAACAAGTCATTACAATAAACTAGATGTCCAACCCCAAAGTTCAATTACACATCAAGTTCATGCAAGCGCAAGTATATCACCGCCAAGTTTGACTACGTCGTATTATGTACTCGGCGAAATGTAGGTCACCGATTTTGTATCCACAAATATTATTGATGTAGAGCAACTCATTAAGTAGTGCACTCTCCCTTACTTCAAAAGTACGAGCATAGGGTCTACTAACGACGGTTAGTGGTGGTCGAAAAGTCAGTGGGTCAGATGACCCCCTCTTAGTCATAACCAGCTTTTCCTGAAACCCTTCTGTAGTGAGTGTTGGCCATTCATCGGCATATTTTCAATCAAAACTCAATGCATACATTATCTAGTTTAGAATGGCTTCAAAGCTACAACCTGTATAGGTTAAGTCATAGTCCTCACCCTATAATTGTTGGCACAGAAAATGGATATGAGAACAAAGCTTTCGAATAACAACAAATCTAAATATAAGTTCTTTACCACATCATTTCGGTTGGTTCGAGCAATCCTTACACAGAAGCCTGCAACATCATGAAACGAGCCCGCATCTATTGCTTGTATCGTCATAGAGGATAGCGTAGGCAGGGTGTACCCAATATTCGCAAGCTTATTCAAACATGATTTGACAACATATTTAATTGCAATTTTCTTCTCAGGTGCCTTTACTCCCACCTCTGAGATTTGTACAACACCTCTACCTCTTCTAGCGGCGATAGAAAAGCCAATTCGAGATTGGACCAATCGACCATTATCTATATCAAAGCTCTCAATATCCGCTCCCTCAACCCTAAAATATGAAAGTGTCTTTTCAAGCCAAATGATTGGGTCAATTACCTATGGTACATTAAAGAAACACATATATACATATCATAAAAATATATTGTGTACAAACGTATTTAAGACATATTAATGTATTAAAACATATATCGTTGCTTACTATGCTAGGATGGTTGAATGGTACAACCGGCAAACTTGGTTCGAATCCCCAAGCAATACAATAGCCCCAACTCGGAACAATCGGTTCAGGGAGACGTCCAGCCATCTCTTCTCACTAAAGTTAATATATAAAAATTCATATCATTGGAGTCAATAAATGAATTCATACATCAAAATTCATATATTCATAAGAATTTCCCTATATATATACAAAATATCAAAATTCAAATATATCACTTAAGTCAATATTTTTCATATACCAAAATGCATATTGCTAAAGTCTACATATCAAAATTCACATATGTAAAAACTTTATACATCAAAATTCATATAACTGGACATTATATATACCAAATGCATATCAAATATATACAATATATCACACTAAAGTCAATATATCAAAATTTATATCACCAAAGTCACTATCTTTCTGCATATATATATATCAAATTAAATCAAAATCTATCACTAAAACAATTACAAGTTAAATTAGATCGAATAAAAATAGCTAGCCAAGCAAATTAGCTTAAGTTAGGGTTGTGCTTGGTTTCACACAGCACAGGAAGGGATGAGGCGAGGTGAACCTGGTGGCAGCAGCAAGCGAGGGCGAGGCCGGAGATGATCGAGAGTCGAGGGCGAAGACGAAGGCGCTAGTGAAGACGATGTCGAGGCCGGAGGCGCTGGTGGAGACGAGGACAAGGCTGGCCGGAGCAAGACAGGGGCGAGGGCGTGTGCGAGCCGAGGACGAGGACGAGGGCAAGGTTGGCCGCCATCGGA